TAGCTTAGTCGCCGCACCAGCCCCTGGAGGTAGTTCAATCTCCACTTATGTTTTTGTGTGTAGTAGCATAGAGAAAGCTCTTCCCTTCCTTTCGCCATTACCACTAGCAGACAGCGTTTGTCCCCTCCCCGTCGCGCATCTAGCTCATGTTCTACCGAACTGCTCGTATACTGATTTCAGTAAGCACGGTCCTGTTTTTAACGGTAACTTTGATTGCGCTATAGCTCAAGCGGTTAGTCGCTGGCTTTCCACCGCGGCGGCCCGGGTTCGATCCCGGGTCTGGTCAAGTGGGATTTGTGGTGGACAAAGTGGCGCTGGGGCGGGTTTTCTCCGACTACTTCCGTTTCCCCTGCCAATCTTCAATTTACCAATTGCTCCACAATCACCCTCACCTATCATCTGGGGCTGGTACAATAGGCCAGAAGTGGCCGCAGTACAAGGGACTAAGTCCCACCCCACTATCAATAAAAATACCGTAACCTTGATGAGAACAGAAAATACGGGACACCCTCTATCCGCTAAAGTTGGCACTAACCTCGCCCACAAGCGGTAGTCGCCTGGTCGGTATAGTTCGCTTGCGGACTAAAACCACGAAGTTTGTTTTGTTTCTTTTAAGGGCCTATCGACTAACATAATTTTGGTTGAAACTATACAAAATGATTNACTGATGATGATGATGATAATTTTAGATAGCTCTAGGTATCTGGAGAATTACTGACTGGACACAGAAGAATGTTTAAAAAAAAATACGTTTCGATTTTTAACAATGAAATATTTTATATTATGCGCCTATATATTTCCTGCACACGACATTGTCTTCGAGAAAATGATGGAAAAATACTAAAGCGAACTGCACGAACAGACGTAAGCTGTACGTATATTCAAACGTAGGCGACTCAGTTGTTTTCTCTTGCCTATTGCGAGTTCTACGTTTGTTAACGGTATTGAGCAAGGGCCATTCCGCATTTGCGATTGAGGAGTCTATTCCAGCTGCCAGGTATTAAAATAAAGTACGTCCCATAATGAGATAGAGAGAAAGAGAGCGAGACATGAAGAATTTGTAGATGACCTTGGCATTCAATTGTTTTGGGCACTGCGTTACAACGTGCTGTAGTTCTCATCTCGCGCTGTGAAGACGCAAAGAACGTGAACAGAGCAGCTCCCAAACGGAACATATGCTACAAACACGTATAAATGTAAACTTCAGCTTAACAGACTTAAAACAATTGCAAACAGATCTCATATAATTTAATATGAGTTTTTATGCCTGTTTTGAACTTTTCTAAATTTAATATGGAGGTAAAAACGCTAAAGCTATCCTTGTAACTGGCCGTGAAGGACCATAGGATTGTGAGACGTCGAGGTTCCCATATTTTCTAAAAAAAAAGAAAAAGGCTCACAGATGGCGGTGAGGTTGTCAGTCTTATGCGCCGGCCGCCCTTTAACCCCTAGGAAGATTCCTGGTACTTATTTCTGTTAAGAGGCTAAGTAGAACCCAGGGCCATAGTACGACTGAAGGATTAGGTCAATTGAAAATATTCACCTCATCGGGACTCGAACCCGCGACCTTACGGCTTGTAGAACAGTGCTTCAACCAACTATGCTACCGCGTCCCCTATTCATGTCCATAAACCCGGTCTCATGTTTTATCCCTTAAGTTCATCACAATAGTGCAAACAGTGGATTGATACTTAAAGAGTATTTGACGACATCGTTTCAGCTGCACAGATCATAACGTCGAAAGAAGCGTAACAGCCATGAACGGTAAGCATGCAAGGATCCACAGAAACCTAATGCAGACAATCGCTCAGCTCGACAAGAAATTCCTAACCGGCCTTCATGGAACCCAAGAGTTCGGACCAAACAACCTCTGTGCTTTATACGTACTGCCTAAAACACTTTCATTTATTGAAGCTCAAATATTAATTTTGTGCTAGTCCTCAAGAAAATGGCTGCAACAATATTTAAAATGTTCTGACTTCAGCATGTGATATGATAAAACTCGGGATTACGTTCTGGAATTTGTCCATCGTCCGACAGTGTAAAAACACGTTTGGGAAACTGGATCTGTTTCCTTCCTCAGAGAAAGTGTGGAAGGCACCTGCTCTGCTGAGTCCATTAGCGAGGAATTTCTACTTAACAGATTTGAATTAAAGTACGATTTTATCGAAGACCTTCAGCGTCTCCCCGACAATGCTCCATACCCATGCATGCGACAGGCGCGACCAGCGAACTTGTTCTCAGGGATTCTCAGTTGGAGCGACATCCTCTAACCCGGAACTCGGTTGGACGCATCAATTAAATTACCAACGTCACTTTAGACTCTGTATCCTACTGACTGCAATGGTAAAGTCGTTCCTGTGCTCAATTAATTAAACACCACGCAATGAAGACGTATGGGGGAACAGACGTACAGCTCCACAATTCTTGACCCGCCGCTTTACCCCTGGGGAAAGCGCCTCCGGCACTCATTAGACAGAAGGATATCTGGGTCCCAGAGCCGTACTGGACAAATCAGAGCAGAGAAAAGTCTCTTACCCCTGCCACGAATCAAACCCCGGCCGTCTAACGCGCATGCCATCACTATATCTCACTGCGCTATCAGACTGACTATAATGATGAAATATAAAAATCTGCATTACTGTAACATAAGGATGGGAAATACTACAAAGTGACAAGCTTCATAGTTTGTGCTGTTCACGTCTGTTTATGTTTAGAGTGCGAGGGTGGAATGGGCGCGGGATACATCGTTCACAGAGGAGATGGGAATAGTGCACAAATTGAGTCATAAATCATCAAGGAATGAGACCACTGCGGAGAATTCGACATAAATGGGAAGATAATATTAAAAATGATTTCCGATAAATATGGTGTGAGGCTGTTAATTGGATTAAGCTGACTCAGGAATGTTGAATTTCTGGTTTCTGTGAGCACTGTCAGTCTAATGAATCTTTGGGTTCTATAAAAACTCCTTCACCTGAGTAACTATAGGTTTCAAAAAATGACCATGCACCACAGAATAGTTGTTTGTTGAAAACTGTGACCTGTTCTAAGCTTCTACTTCACTAACCATTCACTGGTTCACTAACTGGTTATACCTAGCAGTTTAAAAGCCAGTCGGGTGCAGGTGTCGCTTTTGCAACTGCATTCTTTCCATACATACGCTGGAAGTTATCAATAGAAAAATAAATACTGTAATAGGTGAAAAAATATGTTTATATACACAAATACATTTCTACGAGACGTGGGTCTGAACAGATAAGGTAAAGTTATCCTTGTGCTTAATTAATTAAGCATCGCGTCATGAAGGCTTAAGGGGGAGCATAGGTACAGCTGCATTCTTAACCTTAGCAAGGGGTTGAGGTGAACTGTAAGCTTCACGCTTCGGCCGCTGTATCCTCCAGGAAACAAACCCCGGTACCCATTGTACAGGAGGCCGGATGGTCCCTAGAGCCCGCCTGGACGCCTTAGTGAAGAGAAAAATCTCTTTCCGCTGCCGTGAACAGAACCCCGATCCCTTTGTCGCCTATCCTGTGCCCCAATGATTATATCCCGGCTCCCATGTGACAGCTCCTTCGTTATTTCACTTACTTACTCCAGAATAATGCGAGACAACAGCAGACCACAACCATATCCTTCCAAACCACTCTCAGTTCATAACCATCCTCTATCCAGCGAGGCAGAACAGCAGTAAGGTGCTGGAATTTCTATCGGGGACAAGCTATCCCGAGGAATTTCATGGCTTTCCTCATCTCTTCAGGCGAATTCTGAGATACGCTTTACTCCCAAATACCTCAGTTGATACAGCATCGTAAAAGAAATTAATAATCATACAGGAACACATTATACGTCATTCGCGGCTAAATAGCACGTGCAGATGATGAAGCATTGTAAGCCTACAGTTAACTCCACTACCATTCTGACACGAAGGACCGAACGTAAATCGGCGCGTCATATACATCTAATCATTAGACATCAGTATAATCCTGCCAACTAAAGACAGTAGTAACCATCTTCCAAGTGGTATTAGCATTTTAACTACACCAAAATAACAACTCTGTTCATATTTTCAGCCTTTGAAAATTATTCCGGCCCGTCAATTCAGACTACAGTGGCACAGAACCACTTGAAGCCTGCTTATCTCGGCGCACGAACATTGGAATGTCGATCCAGGATTAAAATAGGCGGAACTATACAACATTCGAATTAAATGATAAACTACATTATTCCAGTCCCGTTGTTTCGTTACCAATATTCTCTTCTACTGGCTGCCAGTCTCTGCAGTACGCCTCAGTGATTAGTGAAACCAGCATGAGCTTCCATTTGTAAGCATATGTTAAACATGCGAAAATACACTGTAAATAAAAGCATACTATGTGCAGACATGCTATTAACCACTTGGTGAATTATGCCATACGCATTACTACTATTCCTACTGACCCAGTAAAGCACAATTAAACAGTCCACTCAGAACCGGTGTACTCGTACCTAGAACCTGTTTCAGTCCCCAACACTATAGACAAAACCTTTGCTAATAAAAATTAGAGCATCTCCGTTTGCTAAATGAACTGTGATAACACTATTCTCCCATAACCCGTGAAAATGAGGTCATTATAATTACTGGGTATATTCAACATATCTAGCAGTCACGTATGACACCCCATTTGACCCTACGCACACTGCGCACATTTATGATATTCTCGCTTTTAAGCAGCTAATTACTGCATTGCCTTTTGATACAGATCTTGAGACTGTATATGAAGAAGTTTTGATGAATTATATCAATGAACGTCATTTTAACCAAAATTATAAAACGTCAATAAATCCCTGCATGCACGTTATTTTGTTGACGTTTCGATCGCCAACAGCTGAAAGTATGGTACGCCTACGGTTAACAGATCGTTTTACATTTCGCTTGTACAAAACATACACATCTTGATTTTCTTATAATGCTAGACCAAAGCGTGCTTGAAGAAATGACAATTGTTTTTCGTACTCACCTTACTTGCCCCTCATTCACTTTTTTCAGAAATACACCGAAATTCTACGCACACTGGAACACTGTAACCGCACTAGCAGCCATCATCCATGAGAATCTCTTTACACACTCGGGAAGGCACCATGCCGTGATAGAATGTAGTTCACAACATCGTCAAGCTTTTAACTGCTCTTCCTGCGAAATATTGTTACTGCTGGATTATATGCGAATTTAGATAAGCGGTATTTCTGCCTCCAGTGGTTCCACCGGATACACGTGCAGTTATCGCTGTGGACTCTGCGTAATCATACTCTCACAGGTTCGTACAGTGCCTAACATCCAATATGGCTGCTTGCGTTAAGCTGTACTGGGGGAGTGACGGTAAGGAATGTCAAAATGTGCCTGTCGATCTTGATGCAAATAATAATGAACATGCGTTCGAAATGCAGTATTTATGTAACTGAGTGTTCTTCATTTGATAAAGTGGATAAGTGTTAATTCAATTGTTAAGGACGTATTAGTTTATTTATTTATTGATTCTAACCTCTATAGATTACTCGTTTACATTTATGCAATATGCAAAAAAACACTATGTACGTGGACAAGTACATAAGATCGTAATAATTTAAATTTGCCTTGTGTGTGAAGCGTTCGTTTAATTTATTATCATAACGCAGTACGACAGAATTATTTTAACAAAGTCTAGGTTAGAATGAAGTAAGTTTTTTTTATATATAGAATTCTTGGAGTGTTACAGCGCAATTTTCCATTTATCAGTTCCAAAATTGAATGGTACTGCGTTATCAATTTGGTAGGACTGAATTTATGTGTAAAATTGACATGCATGTGCCCTATGTACATCAGCTGTGACATCGACGTGTTTCTGTTGAAAATGTCAGCGTATAGATGGCAGAAGTAATCGTTAGTTATATGTGGTGCCATCTATTGAATGCACGTCGGATGTGGGGTGTGAAATTTTTTAACAGTGGTTTTCTGATTTGTTGCTGCCCTGGAAACCATTCCATAAAATATGGGCCAGCAGTGTTTAAGAAGGTCGTGAGCGTGTAATACGTCCATAGAGATGAGCCCTTCTTGAGAAGCCACCAGTTGTACACTTACTCAAGAATTTTCCAACATTTTATAGCACCCCAAAAAGGTTTATTTCCATGTTCACAGGAGGTTTCCACTGGCCCCTATCCTTATATAGATCAATGCACTCCATACCAACCCAACCAATCTAAGATATATTTTAATATCATTCACCTGCTTACATCTTTGTCTTCCTAGTGATCTCTTCTGGCTTTCCCACCAATATATATGCATTAGACTTCTCCCCTATGCATGCTAAAATGCCTGGCCATCTCAACCTCCTTAACTTGATCATTCTAATTATACTTGATGAAAAGTACAAGTTATAAAACTCCTCACTGTGCAATTTTCTCCAACCTTCCGTCAAATCGTCCCCATTTTATATTACTGGCAATCCATCAGAGCACTTTTCAAAATATTCCTTCTGATTTCTTCTGCAGCACTGTATAAAATATGGTATTTGTAGTTTTGTACAAGAGTACAAGGAATAGTAAAGCATCTCCAAATAACCTCTCCTATTCCATGCCATATCTTCAACTTGCAGTATATCATTTTCTTTTAATTCGCATAGTGGGGGGCGGAGTCCAGTTGGGTCCACTCAGCACGGTGGCCACTGATTGGCCAATTGTACCTGCCCCAAGCGATTATGATGATGGAGGATTTGGTGGAATGAATATTGGTAGGGGAAACTGAAGTACTTGGAGAAAACCTACCCCAGCGCCACTTTGTCCACCACAAATCCCACTTGACCAGACTGGGGTTTGAACCCGGGCCGCCATGGTGGGAAGCCAGTGACTAACCACTTGAGCTATGGCGCAGCCCCTCTATCATATTTAATACGCACCACATACAACTTGTCAGACTTGGCAGGGAAGCTGCATCATTTGAACAAAATCATTACATCACAAACATGATGTTAGAAATGCTTTTAGCCCTCAGTGAAACTATGATTATATCCTAAACATGGGATATATTTCACATATGGCATTAGGCTAAGAAATACAAGTTGGTGTTAGTGAACCATACATTTCTTCCACCACACTCTCAACCCTTTGTTATCTAGGGTAAGAGTAAGGATAGAAATCACAAAAATGAAAAACGGACAAAAAGTGATATTTCCACCAGGGTGAACCATGTTAAGTCAAAGCCTTCTTCATTCATATCAATCCTTCCTATGTAATCCTTAGTACATGTGTTCGCTTCCCTACTGTTCTCTCACATACTGGAAATTTAAGATGCATGGAAGAAATGCATCACTCTTTCCTGAGGTTCTAGCCTATGCTTTCTTACACATTTCATCAATCATGGTTCTTACCTGGTTTCTCTTAAAGGTTCAGGAATATTTTTCAGAACAATTAATATAATGCCCTTCCCCATTTGGTACAATGAATCTATCGCTCCTGTTTGTTTTCATATGATAGTTAACATCTGCTTCTGTGAAAGTGGTAAAAGTCCACAGTGCCTACAAATGAAAGTTTTATCATGAGTGGCATTTATTTCTAAGACAAGAGTGCACTGAAAGGCCACACAACGATCCATGCATTTTTGCCACAACAAAAATGTAAGTAAGGTCACGTAATAGTTCATGGAGCAACATAAGCCTGCAAGCCTAATAACTGCACCTAGATAATCAAGCGTTGATCTATATATGTAAAATAAGAGAGTAAAATATATATTACAAAAATACGGATTTATTTACCAAACCCAATATAACTACAGGAATTTAGCAGCTAAATATTTTAATTGTATCACATACCTAAACATATGAATGAGCATCAAAACATAATTTAAATGTTGAGCACCTTATTTTTATTCATTACTCGTCTGCGTAGCGGCAAGAAAATGCGAGGCCACCATCTTCTCATATGGCACTGGTTGTATATTTTGAACTGCATAAACTACTGTAGTATTGCAACTTCTAAAATGCTATTAATCAAACCATAAAACTCATTTTCTAGAAGACTGTATATAACAAAACAGGAAGAAAATTAAAGATAGGTACGATTTATCATGGCAACCACAAGTATTTACATTCTCTTCTCCGTTACACAAGATTAGAAAAAATATAGATATTTCACTCTTTTTATCTCACCCAACCTACAGTAGTTTTGTAGTATTCCAAATACCACATTATCATGAGAATCAGTAACAGAACTTAGCTGACAAATATACCAAGCCATGTTACTGGTCCCTTAAATACACTTGACAACTAGAGATTCATTGCCTTAATTCTGAACAATGGTCATGCTCAGTTTAGAGAGTCCATCAGTCAATATAATACTGCATCACACATAATCCTGAACCACAGATTCAAGTATATCCTTTGCTTTGCAAGAAACTGTTCATTACAGACTTCTTTAAGAGTTTGCTGTATGCAAATATTCAACATGAATATAACTCAAAATTGTAACTATAAAGTCATATTCATTCAACAGTGTATTTTTTTTAACTATATGAGTTTGATTAAAATAAATCCACCACCCAACTACCAATGATCTAACAGGCACCAACAAACACAATTTCACGCACACTGTTATAGGTAAGAAGTATTGTACAAGAGGTGTTTTAGAAATAACAGACAATAATATATAATAAGAATGTAATCACTACAAAATTTAAATTCTGAGGAAGACTATAACTATTTAGGATTACTTATAAATAAACATAAATAAAACATGGTCACAAATCAAATGTCAGGATATTAGGGCACAGAAGTAGAATTTGTGACATCTGAGAAATTAATTCTTAATTGCATCTGTATATCTGATATCCAAGGATATCCATTCATATTTTCAGTTTTCTCCAAAAATAATATTTTATAAAGATCCTGACATAAAATCAGTAACTATGGCAATTAATTTGATACAACTGTAATACACACTGTTAGATACACTTTAAACGTGTCTCTCCCCCCTGCCCCCCACACATACAACGAATGAGTAGCACTGCTAAAATTAATCAAAAACCTCATAACAGACATTTTATACACATATATTATTTAATTGGAAGATAATGTTCAGGCACTGAAATGGTTGGTTATGTTTGAATTATTCTATTATAGTACTTCAGTTACTGGTACATACACACCACCTATCACTTCAAAATTCCCTATAAAACTCCCTGTTCATTTATCACAAGGCCAAGACATTCAATGCAGTGGCACCTGCAGTCAGGAGTGTTTTAGTTTCCCATTACTTTGTACTGTTGAGTTGCTGTTGCTAATGGCTGCCTCTGTAGCATGCATTGCTGCCTGTTGCAAACTCAATTCCAGGAAATGCTGATATGTTGGTTTCATGACCTGAAACATTCAAAGTGTGGAAACATCTTTCATAGCAGCAGTACAGGAGGAAACATTTTGTCTGCATGTGCGCTCATAAATAAATTTATGTTATACCTTCTTGCAATGTTAATTTCAATCAGTTTCAGAAAAAGAAATGTGCATTATTCGTCATTAAGATTTTTGTGTTGTTGTTTTTAAACTTGGAATTAACCCTAACTGATGAAGACTGAATGATATCATACCTGGAATTGTAATTTAGGATATCCTGTAATGCCATCATAAATTTGATTATGCACTACTGTAATCACAAATTACTATCAATATAATGGCAACTGCAATGGGAAAGAAGGGTGGGTAGCACTGCTAGTGGTGGCTGGGAGAACTACCATGTGGCAACTTCGTTTCTGAACTTTATAGAGATGGTAATTTTCTTTGAAATGTTGCTAGATGAGGATTCCAGATGCCTGGATACTGGATAACCGGAATTTACCCTGCTTGCTTTCAGGCAAATAACAAACAGTGCAGAACTGAGAATATTAAAAACACTGTAATTGAAGTTCCTACTGAGGTTCATACTAACATTGTTTTGCAGTACATCTGAGTTCTGTTATTTGAATTTAAAAAGGATTAAAAAAAGAATTAACCACATAAGACAGAATTTTACTCACATTATCCCACAGTAAATTTGCTGCTTCATCCAGGTATGCTCCTATTTCTCTCATTTCTCCACTATACCTGCAAGATGAAAATTATGCACATACATACAGCTTTTCATTTTCCACAATACATTTCCCTACAACAATTATACACCAAACACTGTTTAAAAAGAAATATAAATTGTAGCAATCCTGGGTTAGACAGTAATACATTAAATAGTTATGGAAGCTTTATAATCCAACCCTTGCATATGTTTAAGCAAAACTTTAATTACACTTGAGACAAAGAGATTTAAATCCACACATATCTGAACTTATGAGTAGAGGAATCACAAAAACTGCCAATTCTCATTCATTAATGATTTACTTTGCAACACCATCCTACTAGTTGGACACACAACATAACAAAAGAGCCAAGAAGAAATGACAGAGTACAAACAGCTATTTCTTACCTGATATATGCCCATATTCCAAGACTCAACATTGCTGCTCCCATCATAAGATTACAGATATTCGCCACAGAATAAATTCCAAACAGACCAAAGAGTCCAGATAAAATGTAAAATATCACAGCTGTAGCAAAGAAGACAGCAGGAGTTCTTGCAGCTTTGAAGACATTTTTACTTTCATTGTGCATCCTGAACTGTCCATACAGATCTTCAAGTTCCTAAAGTTGAATGTAAAACATTATCATAAACATATTCATGCATAAATATGATCTAAAAGTTTGTGACGATAGCACATAGTACAAATATTATGTTTCTGGACATTATCCATCATCCTGTCCTTTTTAGATAAAGACAGGACTATTGATAATTTCCAAAAACATATCATTTGTACAGTCGTGCATATTTTCAATCAGCACACATTAACCCCAACCATATATGTGACACTAAAGTCTTACAGTTTTAAGTTATTTTGCTGTAGCTTTAAATATTACATAGAAAATTCTGAAAAACCATAAAACACTTCTTTGCATTCCAGTAAGTCTGAAGAATAAATTATGGAAAATAAGGCTTACTTAGGGTTTCAAGATTTCCCAGCATTTAAAGTTTACCCTGGTATCTTGTTGGTTGTGACTCTTATTTTGCAATCTCTATATACAGACGATAACAGAAGAAATACTTGCTTCCATCATAACACAGGCATAGTCATCACCAATCACAAGATTTGTATTTCGATCAGACTACATTCATGCAATATACTAAGTGGATCAAATGAAAAGAAACAAAGAATCTTAAAGAGGCAATTCATTTAAATAAAGAAACCCCATGTGCAACCAGTTGAGCATGCCTGTGAGGCTACAGATCAGTGTATCATTTGTTATGATTGCTTGGTAGTTTCTAATGCCACACTTTGACAATTAAGTCATTTATGCTTTTAACCTCAAATGGCTGGCATATTTGTAACTCATTTTCTATTTGGACACCACATGGGCAAGTTATGCTATCCAACATACTTTACTTCCGTTAGGTAATCTTGGGTTGTCCTCGCTTTTATCCAGAGGTCTCTGCAGTCTTGTGACTGCAGTGAAATCTAGGAATGGAGTAGTGAACTTTGTAGGTGACCAAAATGGCATCTGATTTTGCCTTCACCCATCAATTATCATGAGTGAAAGCTTCTTTTACATGCCATAAATGCAATCCCCCCGCTTTACTTCCCTCCCAAAAGAGGAGTCCACTCAGTTCAGCTGGATTTGAACCTGTGAACCTTGGGTTCAATGGTAAGGATGTTACCACTACAACACCAAGGCGCAAATATCATTTGTTACTGGGTAATATTTTCCTCTGTTCTGTATTTCTTCTCTGAACCTTCAACATACCCTACTGGTATAGAAAATGCCATCATCATCATATGTTTTAGTCCGACATGAACAGCTTCAGAACAAAACAAACACAGGGGCAATGCTGCCACTGTTAGCATGCCTTTGCTTTCTCAACTTCGTGTCTTGACAAACTGATGCACATGAGCTTCAGTCTTAATGAAGACACAGGTGGAATTCAGGACCAAAACAGCACTAATGCCACTAGCATGACCAGGCATGACAGTGTATACAATTACATCCTGGAAGATGCATAGAGGGGGGGGGGGACACATGAAGCATATGAAACCACGTGACGGACCAAAAGTGAGTAAAAGGAAGATGGTACCACTATGCTTGGAAAAAAAAACTTAAGTACTAAAAAGTTATGATGCAACTGATATGCAGTGGCGACTTATGTTGGGAGTAAATTATGATATACAGTAATGACATTTCACTATTTACTTGTACAAGTACATTAACAGTTAAAACGTTGTTAAAGTAAAGTTGCCCCTCTAATTAATTAATTAATTAATTAATTACTGCACTATGCCACAAAGATGTATGATGGTGTGAAGGTACAGCTCCACTATTCTTCGCCTTGGTACTAGATGGAGGTAAGTGGTCAGCTTCATGGGCCAGCGGTTTTGCCCCCAGGGGTAAAGTCCTCAGTACCCATTGGATAGGGAGCTGAGTGCACCCCAGAGCTAGTTTGGACACAGTGGAGAAGAGAAAAATTTCTTGCCCCTGCCACAAATGAAATCCTGGCCATCCAGCCCATAGCCCTTCACTATACAAACTGACTTATCCTGGCTCTACATTAACAGTTAAACATGCCATTATTAATTGAGGGTGGTATGGCATTGGGAGAAGTAGCAATGATCACCCAACAGAAAGCAGGGTAACAATACACTGTTATCTGCCTCTGTTATATTAAACACATTTGCTAAAAACACAAATCTCTGCACCACAGTCTTAAATTTTAAGTCCTTTCATACCATTTGGCATCGGTTACATAACTACATAATTATATCCAACAAATGTTTATCACATCCAATCAATAGTCACATGTAAATATCAATATATACATTCACTGATTGGATGCAAAAGGCTTCTTGTACATAATTACTTCGTTATATTCTTAAATACCTCCTTAAAATAATATTACTTCAATGGTATTTTAGTCTGTTGTGTAAAATGCTTTCTGTTATTACTGAACTTTGAGAACCATCTACTGGCCCTCAATACACTTAAAGAACAAATGATAAACTTTGCATTATATTGGAATTTTCAAATTTCCAGCATTTAACAGGCTGAGACAAAGTTACATAAATTTTAGTGTTGGTGATATAGTAACAGCAGTACAGGCAAACCCCTACTTACGAACTTTCATAAAATGAACAATTCACATTTATGAAAACTGCACAAAATAATAAACTGTGACCCCCAATTCATTTAACAAACACAGAACCCCACGCTTACAAACATTTTAACAAATTTAATGATATATCTTACAATAAAAAATAAACTTTCACGTTTCTAAATCACATTATGTTTGTCAAGTTGGGGTTCACCTGTAGTGGAAATGATGTACCATCACCAGCTCTTCTCATTAAGTACTACAAACCAACCTTATCTAACTTCTCCTTATATGATTCAGAAAAACTTTCGCCTCCCATTTTGCGTTTAGTGATGAACTGATTTAATGATTTGTCTTTAATTCTCTGGTGTTCAGCTTCAAGATGTGCAGTGCTTAGATATGGCTTGGCACCACCACATACCCCCTCCATCAATGCTGTATAAGTTTCCCTAGCTGCTGCTACTGCTGCCAGATTGTTGGCTTCAGCTGTAGCCTGCAACAGACAAGAGAATTACAACTTGACTTCCGTGTTTTTAATTAAAATCTCATCAATATTTCCATGAAGTGAACTACACATAAAAGGTAGGATGTAGCAATATTATTCTGAAATCAGCTGACATTATACAGAGCGTGTGCAGCAAAAGAACCCAATGATTTTCAAAAGTATATGAACCAGTGAAATTTTATTTTAACTTCTAATTCATTGTGTAAGATTTGAGGCTTTCATGGCGGTGACTACGAAGAAAGCAGTCTTCTGGGATTTGGCACCGTGTATATGTGGTGTTAACCGACGTCAGGTTCATTAGCCGCACCCTGTACATTTTTATGGAATGTACATGTATATACTTTCATTTTTATTCACAGTTATTTGAACCCCTTATTATTACAGGTACATTTTCCCTAGCTTCTGTATCACATATTTTATTCTCCTATGATTCCATTTTATTAGCAGTGAGATACTTGGCACTGTCGAACAAGGAAAACTGAAAGGCACTCAGAGAAAAACCTGTCCTGGTTCCACTTTATCCACCACAAATCTCATCTGGACTGTCCTGGGACTGAACCTATGCTTACAAAATAAGAAGACAGCTGGCATCTAACTACCTGAGCTACATGGCATGGCCATTTTTATTTCTTTATTATGAAACATTAGAAACATTAAAATATATGTACAAAAAAGAGCTTCAAATAAAGGCATACTTTTGCAATGCAACACCACACATTAGTAAACTTATCTAGCTACAAAGCACAGGAAATATAACATTGTATTCCTTTTATTTACAAAACTGAAGTACTGCAACAAGTATTAACAGAATTCTTAAACAGAATACACAGGATGAAGAGGAGAAACACTGTAGCGGCAATTTATTATACAAAGAGAAGAGCTTTTTCCTAACTTCCTAACCTTGCAGTCTGTACTGTGATACCAAAATATTCTGACATTATGCAACTCATAAAAAGAATTTGGAAACAGGTAATAAAAATAAATCTTACTCTAATGGAGATGTAATTACTGAAATTGTATCTGTTTGGGCTGGTTAAGTTGGATTCTAATGTAAATAAAGAACTTAAAATCTACTTCTACTAACTGTTTGGTTACATACATACATGCATATAATGTACAGTAAGTTAAGGCTGAAACAGAGTAAACAAGCAGACACTTACAACTAACATGGACTTCGGCTCAGGTAGCTCATCCCCTTTGTAAATTTCAAGGTATGATTTGAAATACTGCAGCAATTCCTTCGCCTTCACTTTCTGACCAGCAATTTCTTTAACAACTAAGTTTTCAGAGGCCAGAATCATTGGGACCAATTTATGAAGCTGTTTCTTGAAATCTGGCTCAATGTCTGAAACAAAATGGGACAGACATAATGTAATCAGACTAACACCGAAACTAGTAACACTGATCTCAATTCCTACCAATACACAATAAGTAGTCCACAAGTTTTTTACTACTGAGACAAAACTGCAGGGTAGAATTAAAATTTTTACAATAGCATTTTACTTCTTACTTGGTCATCATTCCTGTACTAATCATAGTTCTTTGTTTATCTGTCATAAAAACTGATCAACTTTCTCCCCATAATCTTTGAAGTTATAGTAATATGTTAAAATTACCATTGTACAATTACAACCATTTAATTTTCATTGGGTGCATTCCACTGCCGTTAATCTCGGTTTTTCTAGACCAGAGCTATTTCCTTGAAATAGCTCAATTATCCACACAAGGCTGAGTGGACCCCATTCGAGACACACTACTTCTCAGAAAATTTGGTAGTGCCGGGAATCGAACCCGGGACCTCTGGATCTGTAGCCAGGAACTCTGACCTCTAGACCACAGAGGTGTTCAGTGGTATGGTTTTCTTTTTTCACTTTGCACTTGCATTAAATTCTAAATCATGATTTCTCTTTGATATGTGTTTTTTCTCATAATTATCATTAATGATGACAATTACCAATGAAGCCAGTATTTCACCAGATGACACTGTTATAAACATTAATAAGATCTGTATTATATCAGTCATAGTATTATATGTAGTTCTTTATTCTTGATACTTTTGTAATATTCCCCCAGAGCTTCATTAACTAGAGATTTCACTACACCCCTAGTTGCTTTCATACTTATGCAGTATCCTGAAGATATGTAGTAAAATACGAATTATCCTGGATACAGTTTATCAAGCAATGTGAAAAACACCAACATTTTGAATGGCTGATGCATACCTGACAATTTTCCATCAAAATCTGGATTTGTTGCCACTTTGAGTCCTGGATGAGGCATCAAAAAACAAGATATGTCAGAAAAACATGACCTTATGTGTTTCCTTAGTGACTGCAGCTCAGGGTGTTGTTTATCTGATACCTGAAATTGGAACAGAACTGTCCATCAACAGTATTGTTACAGTAACTGAATTCATGTTTCCACATATATAGACCTCTGCTACATACCGTACGCCAAATTTAGCCACCCTGCTAATAAAAAATATTTTATTGATGTGTCCTCTTTATTTAATAATACACCTTAAATTTAATTATTTCACGGTCAAGACATTTTAAGTTCTCTACAGACAGTTACAAAACCTAGAGTTGAAGAATTATTATTAGAGAATATTTTTCACTCACTGTTTATTGTGTAACAATCATGTAACACATGTTTTACGATGTATTATATACCACCATTTCTTTCATGCAGTATACCAGACATTATCAAAAGTTTTCCTCACATTTCACAAAAGCTTTACAACAATCCCTTGTCACAGGCAGATTCCAATATCTACAATTTTCCATTTGTACCCAGTTTGCCAGTTTTATGCATCCATGGAAAAAATTAGTAAAAACGTCAAAGCATATTTTTGTGCTTAGTGAAGCAACAGGTAAATTATTAGGCTACGAATAATGTTTCTAGCAGCACACAGTTCCCGTAACACCAAATTCCCATGCAGTCTTGGTCTCCAATGACTGGGGAGAGATCATTTCATATTATGACAAGGTGTTCAAAATGTTATAATGAAAACAGCCAGTTTCACATATCTGAAGCTGAGACTTAACACAGCTCCCACATCACACAAAGCAGATTATGCTTGTACAAAAGCACCTATGTGTGTATTTTCTTTACTTTAACTTTAAGTTATGTCAATACTGAACTGATTACACTTGCCAGAAGAGCATGACTGTCATGAATATATAAGTAACATTCAACAGTAATGTGAATATTGTCAGGATCCTATTTTAACATGTTTACTGCTTCACTCCCCCTCAGGCAACAATGGTTTGTTATACATTTTGTTCCAGGAAATTTGTTGAGACGATACCCATTTTCTGTGCTACTGTTAACTGTTACAGCTGCTGACAAGTGTCATGTTGTCATGGACACTGGTAAGCGTTGCAGTTAAAAGCTATAGGATACATTCCCTGAAAAGCTTGCATGAAACCTGAGGACATATGGTGATGGCTATAGTCTGCAGTAAACTTTAAAAACACTATTACACCAGTATTGTACCTGTAACCTCCTTTTCAAAATGACTTCTCCTCCCTGAGTTCCATAGTCTGCTTCATATGGAAAACACCAGTCTCTCACCAGGAACTGCAGTTTCTGGAAGGGTGTGTGTCCAACATCTTCTAATGCTAACCTACCATATTCAGTGAAAAGCTGAAAAACAATTCCCACTCTTAGCAAACGCTGCTTACAGTATTCTAAGTATATGCAGAAAACAAATCCAGTTTACTTGTTGGTTCCAATTTTAGAATTATACTGATGTTCACTGGAAGGTGTAGCTGGCTTATAATATTTTATTTAAAAGTTCTGGAAAGTAATTTGGTGCATTCCAACTAAGCCCTACACATTTCTATTATTATCCAAATTTCAATAATAAAACAGTCATATTCATTGCTTTCCATCAGCATAACAGATACAAGAGGTAATGTTTCTTCAGGATGGTCGGGTACATGACACACATAAATCAATGACAGCTTTTCCAACTCAGAGATGGGCCAGGCTTAAGCTACAAAAAAAATTATATAAATAATAAATGCAAAGAAATAATAAAACAGTGATATTATACATTACTGCTTAGGCATGTAGGAGAATGAATATTTCAGTAAGAAATGAGATCGAGACTGAATTTGCAATCTGTCTTTGAATCAACACGAATAACAATTTTCACACAGAACTAGCACTCTTGCCACTTTTTGCTGTTTCCACCTTCATATGTTTGCCTCAGAAGACACTGTATTTTCTTGCCACTTCATGGTTGTTTGTTTTCCATTTTCAATCACCCGTCTTAAAGTATGAATCATAACAGCAGCGCCCGATACTTTTCACACATCCTCTTTGTGTTAGCGTAGAATCTCGTAGATGCAAACTGTTGAATTATGACTTTGTTTTATAACTTTTTCATAACTGTGGCAATACTTCAGGCAACCTCATGGTAGTTTGTGGCATCTGATCTTGAAACTCCCTGACTCTCATGGCACAACAGTGTACACCATGCCATGAACATGCTAAATACTTAAAACCAATTAAAAACATGCAGTGATAACCATGACCTGTAGCTTTGTATCCCTTAAAATTGGAAAACTCCAGAAAATACCATACAATGTCTGCTACAATCCCAGCATGCAAAGCAAAAGTAGTTAGCAGAAAATTCTCCAAGTTCAAGAATGAAACCCTAAAGTTTAAAGTGAAGAATTTCCTTCTTGACTCATTCTTGAAACTCTGAGACTCACACATGCTTTTACTAATGTAGAACTGTGATTCTCAACCACTTAATCAAATAAATGGTGATAAAATACCTGACCTATTATCTTGACAATTTAATATGTCTTCTATAGCAGTCCTAAATATCAATTAGAAATGATGTCTTACACTATCAGAGGAAAAAGGTAATGCTTTAAATCTAAGCTGGGGGAGGCTGAACAGGGGATAAACTGCAGCATGCAATACTAAACCTCAATTCATGCAGGCATTATGATGGGACAGAAGTTATTAACTGTCTCCTGCTAACTTTCTTCTTCTTTTCATAACTTCTGTCATTACAAATTTAGATCCACTCACTGCAGCTTCTTATCCAGTAAGTATCTGTTTGATAATAAGCACTTTATAAGCTGCTGATTTATTAAATTATATTAGAATGTGAATTTTGTCACTGAATTTTGATAATTTAGTTATATGTTAACAATCCTCTTATGCATTCATACAAATACACACACAATTCAAATTAATTTGAGGGAAAAAGATGATAAAACAAACACTCAAACTCAAAACATGAGACTGACCACTCCAGCCACTAATACAAATCAATTACCTGAAGATGCTGCAAATCATCCTCTTGTATGTTGTGTAAGAGATTGTAGATTTGGACAGAACTCAGCATTGTGCTCAATGCAAACACAGTGGCACAATCTCGTACTGTGCTTTCACTGTCAAAGGCTCCCTGCGTGTCCATAAGAATAACAGCAACCTGAAGGAAAAATAACATGGAGCTCAGCTAATTCTTCAGCTCCACTTTCACTTCTATGGCAGTTCCATCTAAATACTGATTAATTTTTGCAACTTTACAAATTGCATAATATGCATTCATAAAAAATAGCACATCTGCAATTTTGATGGTTGTTTACAAATAAAATTTCATAACATTTCTAGAAAATGTATAAATATCTAATTTCATTTTACAGTGAAAATGAAGAAACTGAGTCTTATCACATTTCCCAAACAACAGCTAATCATATAAGAAATTTGTTACATAATGTCATGAACAAGACCTCGAGGTGTGTATTCTTGGAATGTCAATTTATTACTCTACACCGTAACTACAATTCAATGTAACTATAACACAAAATGTTAAACTAGTCGTTTCACAGTCGCTCCTTCATATTACCAACTCTCACTATACTGTAGAACAGTTGAACTCTCCGGGCTGTCTTCCACTGTCTTCTGTCCGGCTTCATAATCCACACTCTCACTCCCGGCACCACACGCACACTCACTCCTCCTGGCTGCTCTTTGCCTTGGCACACTGTACACACACACACACTACTAACACTGGCTCACACACCGCCCAACTGGCCTCTTATACTGTTCCCTGTTGTCACGTAATAACTGCGGTGTCCCCTGTTATGTCACCAGGGGGAGGGAGTGTTTACTGGCCTGTTACCATAGTAGTGGCAGCAGCTCCTATGCGGTTACGTCACAGCGGCAATGGTTGCCTAAAACAGCTGCTCTGCTGTTATGGCACCACTGGCAATGCGTGTTACCGCGTCGTGCGGACACCACGATCCTCAACACATACCATAAAATACAGATCCCATTAAGATGTGCAATTTGTATTCAAAATATTCTCAATGTATTATCTCTTTAAGAAACATTAGTTTACAACTAAGTAGTATGGTGTATGTACTGCGCTTCACTTTATAATAATAAATTTCTACGTGCAGAAGTAAATATCAAGGCCAATCAGATATGCAAAATCATAGAGAATACATTCCTGCTCTTGTTGATCATATTTATAAGGTAAAGAGTGAGCACGTTTTGCACGGCACATATTCGCCTGCTTCCCTTGTATTCAGAAAGTACATTGTTTAAATGTTGGCCTACTGACCATATTATGCCTGTACCAATTCCAATGATCAAATCAAAGACATAAGGTCATGCAGAGGCTAATCTTTAAATACAACCTTACTGGTAGAAAACATTTGCCACTGCCATGGCCACTAGGTAATTGTTAAGCATACTGAGGCTTAATTAATACTTATTTGTGAACATCTGGCAACATATCAAAGGGAAACCCAGCCAAGAGCTTAGTTTAACTGCCAAGCAATAATAACAAACAGTGATAGACAAGTGACTCAAATAAGATCATTTTTATTTATTCTTGGTTTATTCAATGATGCTTCAGTAACTCAGGATAATACATAGCATCAAATAATAGAATCATTAATGAATAACAAACTGGAAAGGATGTGGAAGGACATGGTCATGGCCTATTTTAAGATACTGTGATGAGATGATTGAAAGAGCAGCTAAACATGTGACGACACCAAGCCCACTGCTAGGCAATGGCCACAACAAAAATTAAAGGCATTGTTAGAAATGGTGTTTTGTATGCAGTCCATGCCAAGGCTATGTGACCAGACCAGATAGGCAGCTGACAGCAACAGGACACTGTGGGGGAACTGTCCCCCTTCCAAGGAGAAGAAATGGCGAAACACCTATAGGCTGCTTGGGATGAGCTGCCTTAACCCTTACACTGCTGTGGTTGACATATGTCGATCTCTGAAAAACATGGCGTCCTTGCTGCGATCAACAAAACCCATATTGAGACTTTAGAGTTTCAAATCTCAGGTTTCTTTGCGCCAATCTCATTCAAACTTGGCGGGTGTATAGAGTCATCTATTGGGAACATAATGAAGCATAATCACTTCAATGGCTGCATTCTTCTGCCCTCTAGTTTAAGAAATGTAAAAGGTTGCATTTGCACAGCAAGGCACACGATCCATTTTCATGTGACGCGGGTATTTCACAAGATTAGTAAAAATAGCTTCGTATAGTACGCGGTGCTTTCTATAATAGTTTTAAATAAACTTGTGGACTTTGGTCAACATGTGACACAGTGATAAGACAGTGATATAAATACAGTGATTCTAGGACAGTGAATTATGTACTTTTTTTGACCATCTTGGACAACCCTGATTTAAACGGACCTTTCCCCTGTGAAAAATACTGAATAATTAAACATTTTTGCAACTTCTACTGCCTGCTCCCTGTCTGAGGTAAGATTACTTACATTTTATCACATTTTCATACTTTGAACTTAAATTATTTATAAAAGATTTAGTCAAAAATAATTCATGACAGAGGGTACTGAGAGTTACTTATCATACTAGCAGCGAAATCGTTAAGGAGGGATCGGTGTGACAGGATGACTGCTATAGTGAATTGTAAAGTGTTTGGATTAACAACAGTGTTATCATTCTTTGTAGCTACGAGTTATGGGAGTTAAATATTTATTTATTTATTGACCAAAACCCCATGTATAGTCGCTAACACATGACAAAACCACCCCATGATTTGGTTACAGGAACTCAGGAAAACCATAAAATTCATCTTATGGTAGCTGTCTCCAGGTCATGATTGGAACTTGGAACCTCATAACTGCTAATCACTCAATTACAACATTTAATTATAAGATGCACCAAACCGACTGTGTCTAAAACCTAACATCAACACCTAAATTTCAGCAGACTGCGCTAACACAGTATGGGAAAATTCACTCTAAAAGTTGTCTGTCAGCTATTATTTTCAGTCACACTGGCACATAACAAAGTCCACTTTACAAGAGGGCATACGTGAATGAGCTTTTTACATAAATCATAAATAATTACATAAATTTTAAAATTATACCACAAGTAAGCTTAATAAATTAGCAGAGGATCCGATTTTGAATCTGATATTTCTTTCCAGTCTTATTACTATAAATAAAGCATTTGGCTAGATTAGGGATCAATCTATTGGAAGAAATAGGAGGAATTTACATTTCAGACCTAGCTTCATGGTGCCGAGAGTCCTTCATGAGAAGCTGCCAGTCACTCACCTACTCAAGAAATTCCCAACATTTTATGGAACCCAAAGGTTCATTACCATGTTCACAAGAGCCATCCACTAGCCCCTATCCTAAGTAAGATCAATCCAGTCCATACCGCCCCATCTTCTCTAAGATCTATTTTAATATTATCCACTCAAGTTCGTCTTGATCTTCCTAGTGGTCTCTTCCTTTCTGGCTTTCCCACAAATATTTTATACACATTCCTTTTCCCAATTCGTGATACATGAGAGCCGAGCGGAGCCGAAGATAGCCGAGCCCCCGCAACCTGGTAACTATGCAATGTGAGTCAACAGCGGTGACGTAACAGGATGACGTGGCACTCATTACGCAACAAGCAAGCACTGCAGCTATATAAGTGAGCTGCACAGCGGCTGCGAGTCAGTTAGTCCTGGAGCTACCGCCGAGTGAGTCCTCGAGCTACCTCCGAGTTGTACTGTGACAGTCAGCCAGTCAGTGCGTTACCAACGAGTTCTCAGTTCGCAAGTTACGAGCTACAGACGCGTGTGCGATAACCAGTGATAACCAGTTATATCTGGAGTGTGTAATTCAGGGAGACTTGTATAGCTCCCGCGTTATTAATACGTGAAGACTCTTGAAGATAGTGTTAAGAGATTTTGTTGTAGGGTTTGTAAAGTGTGGAAACCCGTAATATTGTGATAATTAAGTGTAGCCGTTATCTGAAGATTGTTAAATAAACCAATTAACCATCTCCACGGCGTCTTCTGTAACGAAACACGTTACAATATATATATATATACAGGGTGTCCCAGGAGGAATGGACCAAACTTCGGGAGGGTGTTCCTTATGTTAAAGTATGCCAATATAACCCAAAACACCTATGTCCAAAGTTGAACGGTTACGGAGATAATGGCCAGAGAAGTGTCAAACTTTGACCGGTGTTACACACTTGTTGATTACAAAATACATATTAAAACTGGCAGGAATATGTGGATTCTGTAATGTTAATAATGTACGTAACATCAAACTAACTTGTGAGTGACGGAAAGCCATAAAATTGAAGTACGAAATACTCGCTCGCCATGTCATAATTGTCCTTAGGTTTCCAAGCACTATACATGACACATGACTGGCGAGCGATGACGTAATATGGCTGCGCTATAACCCGACCACATAACTGTAAACGTACATTCACAGGAAATCTCTTTTGGAATTTCGTTTCCATTATCTCATGTGGATTATTATGGAACCACGTATGCACATTTCGTAAATTATTTACACCATCCAGGGTAAAAGACGCCTCATCACTGAATAAAATGACGCTTAACAGTTCGGGATGAACTTTTTATCCAGTGGCACAAATCCATACGCTGTGCATGGTCGCCTGGTTCCAGATGTTGTACCATTTGATCATGGTAAGAATAACTCTTCATGATGTAAAGTTTGCCACACCTGAATACGTGATACGCCGATGCGAGAGGCGATTCTACGAGTGATAGACGCGGACTTCACTGAACAATATCAAGAATGTGCTCTCGTGTGTCTATCATTCGTACATCCTGCCTTTCAGAGTGCACAGAAACACTTGCAAGAGAACCAGTATCACGCAATGTCTGGTGAATTCGCGTAAATACACTTCGAGATGGAATCCTTCGATCGGGAAAACGCCTTTGGTATTCTTCAACAGCAGCACGTGCATTGCGACCGCAAAATCCACACACAAAATGCATATCACAATATTCCACGTGTGAAAACACAAGAGGCATTTCAGCAACTCATCACACAACTAATTTACCACCCATTCACGACCCCGCCGCAACGTAATATGTAGGCTCTGGTAGGTTGCGCATGAGATCACGGCTAGTGTGACATCACCACACTCAAGTACAAACAGATAACAGTCACAGCTGACTGTCCACAATGCGTGGACCTGCAAGAAGACCACACTTTTCTTGGGCCATTATCTCCGTAACCGTTCAACTTTGGACATAGGTGTTTTGGGTTATATCGGCATACTTTAACATAAGGAACACCCTCCCGAAGTTTGGTCCATTCCTCCTGGGACACCCTGTATATATATATACAGCAAAACCAACATAATTTGTGATTTCTGTCCGATTGACGTCTCATGCAAAAGCACAAATGTTGGAAGCACTGTCCTGAGTACTGCAAGAGGGAAAGCAGTTACCAAGCTGACACAACTAAAATCCCTATTCTATTCCTCTTCTGATTGTTCCTAACAGTCTGGTCAAATAATGTACCAATTAGTTTGTGCTATGTAAGAGATAAAGATATTTAAATAAGTGACAAAATTAAAAAAATAAGACAGCTGATTTGATACAAAACTCTTATATGTAGGCACTATCAACTTACTTTTTCTCCACTTGGCAGATCACTAATAAAGACTTCGGACCATATGAGAATACCCGTAGTGTCTCTTTCGGACCCTCCTCGCCATGAAAAACCTTCAAGAGGTTCATCTTCACTGCCCATCCAGTCAGGACTTCCCTGTTCAGAGCAAGCACAGCAACCATGAATTCATTGTGTAAAATCAGTTTGCATTTATATCAGAAGAGGTAATTAATAATTATGGTAAAGGTAATTCTATCCCCGAAACAGGCCGTGAAGGCCCACAGGGTTGTGAGATGTCGAGGCTCCCACATTTTCTAGACAACTCAGCTCATGGATGGTGGTAAGGTTGTCAGCCTTACGCGCCAGCTGTTCTTTACCGCCAGGAAGATTCCTGGGACAAGTATATTAATGTTGGTAAGGATATGTAATGAAATAAATGTTTTTCCAGGTTCAAATATGTCATATGTTTTATGTTTCATATCCATTTGTGACCTATTTACTGACTCTTCTTCGTGTGATCAAAAATAAGACTTCGGTAGCTAGACCAACCACACTCTTAAGTAAATACATATTTAAGGCCGCGCCATAGCTCAAGCAGTTAGTCGCTGGCTTCCCACCGTGGTGGCCAAGGTTCCATCCCGGGTCTGGTCAAGTGGGATTTGTGGTGGAAAAAGTGGCGCTGGGGCAGGTTTTCTCCAAGTACACTGGTTTCACCTGCCAACCTTCATTCCACCAACTGCTCCACAATCACCCTCACCTATCATCTGGGGCTAGTACTATAGGCTAGAAGTGGCCACAGTGCAAGGGACTCAGTCCCACCCCACTAGCAATAAAAGAAAATTATATATATATATAATCAATACCTATAAATTCTGGTGGAAGAAAGCTACATTTAATTATTATGCGTAAGAGACTTTGGTGACCTTGTGATATGTTCGGGGGGGGGCACTGATTCCTGGATATACAAGTTCGGAAATGTACACACTGCATCACTTTTATTTAATTATCTCAAAAACCATAAACGGTGTGGCAAAAGTATATGGGACATAAATATATCGTTCATTTTTCTCTAAGAAACATTTCATCATTCCAATAAATATCAGTAGTAGCACATAATAAATTCCAGAATTAAATTTATTTTTGTATCCTGAACATGTATTACAAGATCTTTTGCACCTCTCTACACAATAATTTTTTCATTGCTGTGTAGGTTTTGTAACCTCATACACATGTAACTTTTTTGAAGCCTCTGCAAAAAATTAAGAACATATTGCTGGACCTGTTCATCATGTTGAAACTTCTAGCCTATCATTTACTCTCTCTGAAGCCCTGGGGGATGGGAAGCACTGGGGTTTAAGTTTGGACTATAAGGAGGGTGTGGAAAGCACTTCCCAATTGTTTCCCCTGAATGCTTTAAATGTCATGGGATGCAGGTCTCAACAAGGAAAATATCTGGAAAGAAAACCAATTACAGCAATATCAGGAATACACTTCCCAGAAGAGTAGTAACTGCTCAAGTACACTGGATGGTGACACAAGTATTCTCCTTGATTAACCCGTTGCCGTGGTTCGACGTGTATGTTTCATCAGGGATTTAAATCGTCTGGGGGGGTTCGACGTGTATGTTTCGTCCAGCTGCACACCTATGTTATAACGCCCATAATAATTGATGGTTTTGCTGTAGATTGTTAGATTTTTCGCTGGCCTGTTGTCAGTAGAACAGAGTATAAATAAGACACGACTTTATCTGCGCCTAGTCATCGTTACATATACCTGTCTTGCAGCAAAGTTCCTGTGGCTCTGGCGAGCGGTTCCTAGTCGTACGCTTATGAAAGGCGTGTTTTCTTTGCTTTGAAGATATAAACAGCAGAGACGTGATGTGTACTCTGTTTATCATATAATATTGCCCTGAGCTGGCCACACGAACACACTCAATTGGAATTCTTAGAATAGGGATGTCCATACATTTATTCTCGCATGATCCATTGATTTCGCACAGTACAAAGGCCCAGTTCTTAGAAAAACGCCACAATTTAAGGCAGAACACTGTGGTCACCCCCTGAGACGATACGGATGTGTGTGGGGGAGGGAAAAGAACTCATTCCTTCATGTATTATCGCTCCAGCTGACGCCATTTTATCGTACTGACCTTGGTGGTCGTTTCGAGGGATGACCATAAATATTTTTTTGAGCCAGCTAGGCTCTGCTTTCGTGCACTACATACCAGCCAGTACTTAGAATAACTTCATGAATTCTGTGGTCACCCCTACGACATCTACAGCCGCCAAAATGGATGGAATATCAAAGGCATAGCAACAACCCCTTGTTATGATAACTCGTAACGTTGAATTTACTGCAGCTGACCTGACTAGCTTTACTGCTCACGGAAGGACATTTCCTTGAACTATACCCCTCACGGGGAAGAGGGCTAGGCCGCACAGAAGCTGTGTGGTTAAAAAAAAAGAGCAAAAGAAAAGATACGAAGTATTGGTTTGGTGAATGTGAGCCAGCGCTGTGTTTAGACTAATGCTTCAAGGCGTCACCTGCTTGCATTGCCGAGATACCGGGTGCTCATATTATAAGGCAAGGTTATAAAACCATCTTTTAAGATCATTTTAGTGAAAGTTTCATCCTTCAAGGCGTACCATTCACTGCTCAAATACTAAACAACCTGCTTCCATGGCCGAGATACAGGGCGCCCATATTATAAGGTAAGGTTATAAAACCACCATTTAAGATCATTTTAGTGAAAGTTTCATGTTCCTATCTCATAGAATTTAAGAACAATGATGAATAAATTATTTTCGAGCAAAATTTAAATGGCCGGCTGAATATATTACCGCAGGAGACGCAGCCGCGGAATTTAAATGACCGCGTCAAAGGGTTAATGCAGAAAATTGTAAACAAATCTGAAAACTGGAAATTCTTTCAACATTAAACGCTAACAATCATTATTAATAATAACTGATTTATTTATGTGCCTAATTTTCATTAGTAATGACTCTGATTATGTCACATTCATCAGGTATAATCTTGAAGTTTCATGCTGTCACTGTGCTTCTAATGTTGACACGTAAACAATATTTGCATAGAGCTGTATATTTATGATCTATCGCCTTACAAAATATCGCATTCTTAGTCCCAATATGAAGGCAGATGGCATTTTACTGTCTTACATGCTACGGGGATCTATACATCCACTCCCCCATACACCTTCATAACACAAGGAAAACTTTACCTTTACAAGCTACATGACAGTCTCAGGATCATACATTAAGTAAAGTTAGTCTTCTTATTTCACAAGTTCATATAGACATAGCAGACAGCCACAGGGATAGATGGACACGCAAACATGACGATACCATAAGGCTCTCTCTCATAAAGTAAGGAGAGAAAGCTGAAAACAGTGAGATTATATGAAAATTTAACACTTTCATTTGTTTAATACACTTCAAGAACTACGAATAAAAGTTGTGTCTTTTATCCTCTTGATTCACACACTATACTTCCTTCCACAATACAACCCACTAATTATCTCCCTCTCCTCACGACATGTTTCGGCTGTATACGGCCATCAGGTGTCTCTATTTGCTAAACTGTCTCAACATGTAGTATGCAGTGTGAAACAGTTTTAGCTGTGAAGGCTGTATATGGCCGAAACATGCAGTGAGGTGTGGGAGCTAATAAACGAGGTGCATTGTGGATGGAAGTATAGTGTGTGAATCAAGAGTACATTACTACAACACGATCTTAAATACAATATTGTGACTTTTATCTTGGGACAGCAAACCAACCTGTGTTACCATATACCGTAGAAAGAAGTCGAGTAGGAAGGACTTTCCCTTCCGGAAGGCCCCAGCTACTGAGACAACTACCACGTTCTTGTCTTTGACATGGTCCTGCAGTAGAACTGCTGACAGTGCATCCTCATCCAATTCAAAGGAATGGTCATCTCTGGTAACAACTATCTGTATCGGTCGTCCTCCCATCCTGCTGGCTCTGCTGCTCTCTCTACCTGTGTGGTATGAAAAGAAAGTTACAGGGGATTAGCTAGACCATGCTTGTTACTAACCACCTCATCAGAAGATGCAATACTCTTTTATTGGATCTATCATATTTCAGCTTAATGAATTAATGTTTAAAACTCTCTTTTATAGCTGTATATTGCTTTTTATATGTTTAGCCACAACCATCTAATTCAGACATGAATATTTCTGCAATATAAATTTGACCATTATGTTGTTACAGACAATGGAATAATATCTGTTTGGTTAGCCCACCTTTCAAAGCACAATTCTCTTGATCCTCAGTACACAAATACAGTAGAGCCGCATCATAAGTGTGTTTAATTTCCGCGAATTCAACCATAAGCGCGTTTCAATGTAGATATTTTTCGCGCTACAAGGCTCCCAAACGCAAGATCAACCAAAGGAACGGCGATCTGTTTTAACACTGAACAAAAAACTGGCTGTGATGAGCTTACTGAGAGACGGTTATTTCGGTCTCAAACGTGAGGTGCATATATGGCCGCAAGTATATATGTGGTACAGTCATTAATTTCGTGGACTGCGGTTTTATCGCATCATATTAGAAAGTATTCACATACACTTACACAGATCCACATCGGCCCTCAAAATACGCGTAGTTGCCGTTGGCCGCTATGCAAGTCTGCCAACAATATTGCTGAAACATATTGCCGGGGAATTCCCATACAGCATCTCTTGTGGCATTGACAACCTCCTTGGACGACTGAAATCTACGACCATGTAGCTTTTCTTTCAAGCGGTCAAAGAAAGAAATCGCATGGTGCGAGATCAGGTGAGTACGGAGGGTGTGGTAAAACGGTGACCTGTTGCCATGTCAGTTCCCCTTGGACAAGAACAGAGCGATGCGCAGAGGCGTTGTCATGTAGCAACAGCCATTTCTTCCTACGCCAAATGTTTAGCTAGGGGATTTGCCTAGTTGCTGGCAGAACTTGATGTTTGTCCGTTGTTCAAACTGCCACATTTTTTATTTCCGCCACTCGCATTTAACTACAGTACACAAGAGAGGTCGTAGTTCTGCTTACACTGTTTGCAACAAATTCCTGTTGCTGTGACGAGAGTTGAACAGGGCATCATATCGTGCCTCAACCTATCCGCTGTACTGCACTGCAACGACGCTTTGCGGCCAGTCCACGAAATTATTGACTATGGTATATTAGAGGGTAAATAAAAAAAAAAAAGCTGATACTTTATGGCCGACTTGGGGTATTTTCAAAAGTAATCCTGACTATATGCGACTTCTGGTTTACGGCCGTTTGTAGAACGCCCGCATTTTTTTTATTTCTTGAAAATTTACAATCTACTCCACAGTAGCAGCATGAGTAATTAGTAAATGGTTGAAAATTCGGAGGCTTGTGACGGGTACCATTCAGTAATGGTTCTCCGTATGGTTACACTTCATCGAGGTCTTCTGGCCAGATTTTTAAAAAGGAAGTGGTGTGTCAAGTGATGTCAAAGCTAACATTGATCGCCCCCTGAACGCCCGCATACGATACAACTCCATTGTACTCAACTTATTAACATCCATACATATGAATGGCATAATTGCTCCTTTTTATTCTAATTTATTTAGTTTTCAATACTTATTTTCCTGTGTATATATGTGTAACACGACGTAGGAGGCGACGAAAAGAGAAGTTTCAAATCTGAGACAGTAAAATATGGTCGCGAGTCCCAAGGGACTCGGACCCGAGAAAGACTACGCTGGCAAGGGCCAGCAGCATATACAAAAGACAGACCCGTCCTCTCGTCAGAAAGGGCGGCCCACAGAAACAAGACCGTAACTGTCAAACGGTAATAAATATCTGGTCATAAGCTCCAGATGACGCTCGGAACCAAGACTTACTGACTGACTGACCGTCAGTCGCAATGTGACTTTGACTTGACTGATATCCCAGAGAGTTAAGGAGACCAGAGTTGGAAGAGACAGTTGAAAGATAGCCACCGCAGAATGCAGCTGAAATGGTACTAATTGTACCTGAGTGTGTAAAAGTAAATATTCGCTAAATCCAAGACCCATGTAAATTTATTTTTCGCGCTGCATAGGCAACACGCGACAATAGTATCGAAACCAGTACCGTGATAAACGATTTCATTGTTCAGAGCTAACAAATGAACATCTGACATGAACTTGCGTGGGTCTGTTTTGGTTTCAAACCCAAGATCAAACTATCAGCACTCCCTAACGGAGCACTTATATAAATATAACTTTCGGCCACAGCGGGCTGTTACTTGCTGTAGATATATGTATATAATATTCGTTAAGTTGTAAGCTTATCAATAAATGTTTTAAAAAGAAAGTTCGGTTTCTTTTTGGATAGACCACGTATTTAGGGGTATGATTATAGACGGGGTTGGACTTCACTGTTACACTAGTGTCCTCAGTCTGTTAGTCTCCAATAGTCGTTGCCTGGTAACGGATCCTGCCGATTATACATCATCATTTTCCGTCTTTACCTCCAAGTCCAAGTCACATTGCGACTGACGGTCGGTCAGTCAGTCAGTCAGTCAGTCAGTCAGTATGTCTTGGTGTCGAGCCCCAGCCGATTTTTTTTTTTCCCCCTTATATGAAAGTTACTGTCCTGTCAATTTGGGGCGCCCTCTCTGATGAGAGGTCGGGTCTGTCGTTTGTCAGTCATAGTCCGTATTAGTAAATCCATTGTCAATATTTACATATTGTCACGTGTTGGGTGTATAACGCGACAAATAACTTCACGCCGTATTTGATATAGCGAATTTTATTTCACATTCGCTCTTACAATCACACAAATTACAATCTGACAATTACTGCCATCGGCAGTATCACAAATACTGTACTGTAACTAACTGCTGGCTTACTCGGAACTCTCCGCTGGCCAGATTGAGAACTCTGTTGATCACACACTGGCTCGTAGGCTTGCTCAGAACTAACTCGGAATAGTCTTCGCTGCTCCGTATCTAGCCTCGTTCCGGACAATGCAGAAAACAGCCACGTAATAGGCACCACTGTTGCCTGGCGCCGTGTTGCTAGCAACGCTGTCCGGAGTTTACTGCTGCCTAGCAACCGCGGTATCCCTTGGTGACGTCACCGCTGTCGACTCGCGTTGCATAGCGACCAGTATGCTGGGACTCAGAGAACTTCGGCTCCGCTCGGCGCGTCACGGCTGTTGGGGGGGGGGGTCATATATAGCGCGACACGTCACAATATATTTACAAATTTACTCTTGATTCCTACTCGTATTTCTATGTACAATATATACAAAACCTCTGTCAGTCCAGGCTCAGTACAGCAGATTATGCCCTTATATATATATTTCCTCCCCTCGTTGGTGTCTCCACCTTATCGTGGTGAAGGGGTTTGAGTATGCCAAGGACCCTGAGAGCTATACCAGCGGTAGCGTAGCTACTGGCAGGGCCTCCCTTGCTGGACAGGTCAAAGGGTAGGCATCAGACGAAGAGAGACACCAAAAACTGGTGCCGGAAGCAGCGTCATCAGCAGCGACTTGAAGCACAGAGCAAATGATGCTCGAGATGGTTCAAGTTCTTATAGCAACAGGCGTGACCAGAGTGGTTTGAACGGCTGTTGTACTGCGATGTGGAAAGCAAATGGAAAAACTACCACATTATCACTTTTCCTGGATAGTCTCTTTCCAAAAACAGAAGATCGCATTAAGTGGACGAACTGTTTTGGAAGAGACTGTGGACCTGTCGTCTGACAGATTACTGATGAATGAATGAATATATTTCCTAGTAGTATTAGCTACCACGGCAGTCTAGTCACTTGAACGGTCGTATGCCTGACCGCCGCCAAGTTTAAGCCTCTTATACTTTCTGTGTCGGGCTTCGCCTTGTCCGATGTTGCGAACATTCTCATTTTCATGATTTTGTATTACTTCTGCTTGTTTCCTGCAAAATTTTATTATATAGTCATACACGTACGGGATTTTGAATGTCATGTGCAAATCGCGGACCGTTGTGCGCCTTGGGAAATTGCCAATGGTGCGGTGAACCTTGTTTTGCAGGCGCTACAATTTCACTAGATCAGTGTCTGCCGCGAATTCCCAGGCGGGACTAACATAAGTCATTACGGATCTAATAAGAGCTTTGTGGAGGGTCACTTTAATGTTAACGCTCAATCGCTTACTTTTGAATAGGGAATATACTCTAATGAATGTTCTGAAGGCCTTGGCTTCCATCATTTCTATGTGCAATCTCCCTGTAACTCTCTTATCGAAAATTACACATATATATTTTGCACTATTTACAAATGGAATCTTTCGTCCATTTAGAGTGAGACAAGACTCAGGCGGTCGACGACCACGAGAGAAGTAGACCCCCTGAGTCTCATCTTCATTAATTTTAATATTCCAGCGCTCACACCAGGTTTCCATTGCGCGGAGAACGCGCTGGAGTTTTCTAACCTCGTTACTGCCCGGCGAATATCCAGCCGACCTAAGGTACGTGCTATACAGCCTCGGGGAGGACCTAACAGAAAACACAGCCTTCAACAGTTCTTATATTGTTGTTATGGGCTGTTGCGGGTATAGTTTCCGCGGGAACGTGTTTACCGGGCCGTTACCAAGCAACGCATATTCTCAGGATAGTTACATAGAAACGGTACTACACGTTACAATATTAATTTATTAGGTAAGCTACAGTGTTACAGCTTAAACAGGCTTTGTTCATAAGGTTCAACTGCTGCTAACAGCATTATTTCTTATATTAGAAAAGAAATTTCTTTTACTTAAGAGCGACTCTTGTTATGTATGGATCTTCAGTATATAATCCATTCGTTGGTCAAGGATCGAGTGTACTTAAATCCTGTTATTCAAAACTGACCACAATTATTCTTATCATACATCTAACAAAGAATTATACATATACTTATTGCGTTCAAGATTGTGGAGATTAGAGATAAGAACTTGCATTTATCATTTTAAATTTGCCAGTCATTAATGGTTTCCTGAACACCTGTGAACTGTATTAGCTGTCA